GTATACAGATTCTCCGGACGGAGGTGAGTATGCTGGGCGAAACCTTCGTCCAGCATACTCATCGAACTATGGCTATAACTTCGCAAGTACAAGAGCACTATTTTTTTCCTTTGGGCACTATTTAGCACTATTTCAGAACAGTTTTTTGACATTCATGAAATATCAGGATTCCATGTTGAGTATGCTGGACGAAGGGACACATATTTTTGGGCTTCAGAAAATGGTGGTTTAATAAGCAGATCGATAATATGGAGTTTCTTGCTCGTTCTTCTCCATAGGAATCTACGCCTTGGAATGAGCAACTAGCTTCACTTATAAATTTTTGTTATTTTACGTTCAAAAGTGCCATCCTGGTCTAATTGAAATAAATGATTTTGACTTTGACTTCACTTTGAATAATTTAAACTCCTCTGCAAGATTTTAAGCTATCGAACCCTAAACCGTCAAATTCCTAGATTCCGGATTTATTAATCAAAAAACCTAATTGTTTTTACTTTTTTTTTTCAAATAGATGCTAGACACGGTTGCGGTCACCAGTATCCTCGCGGTGTTTGACAGTTTAAGATAGATAAGAGTGGTTATCCGGAAAATCTGACTATCCATCTTTTCCATCTAAACTGCTGGTACTTTTTCGAACCCGCGCGCGATTTATTGCACGAGCACGGGAGCCTGTCACCCGCCCACTGCCTCTACTGTCATTAGCGGCATTGGTATATTTTATTCATAGAAACCTCGTGTTTTACAGGTTTTCTAGTTGGCTACATAACATACGTATCTGTGGAAGAAGGTTATCGCAGATCAAAAAGGAAGAATCCAATGGACTATATGTATGAAGTAAACCCTGCCATACCAGAAGGTTGTGAACCCAAATAAATGCTTTTTAAGTTTTGTTTTTTTTTATCGCTGTTATTACAACAACTACTTACATTAATTGTCATTTTCATTAATAGTTATTAATTTAGTTGAATAATTATTATTTCTAAAATCTTAATCTTAATGTCGGAATGAAAAAAGTCGTCATATGTTTTACTTCAGTCCAGACTTTTATAATCTACCTGTACCTGTTCCAAACATCCCGGTACCTTTGGCCGTTTCGATGTGACCGATAACAGACATACAGATAAACTCACATATTTTCACATTTATAATATCGGTTCAAGGTATTTTCGACTACCGCACGGAGTTATGCGGGTAACATATTATTCGACAAACATTTAATTTTTTATATTTCCAGTGAACAGAATGTACACGTTTTATTGCATGTATGGGTAGATATTTTTTTTAAGGAGGGACAATCATCGAATGACTTCTCCCGCCTAGGTGAGGCGGGAGGGAGTGTCGGACAAAGAGTATAATAAGTATAGGGGAGTGTCGGACTCTTTTTGACTAAAAATCACCCCGTTCCTGCATTTCGAGCTAAAGCCCCGATAACCCGTTAAGTTCTTCGCGGCTTCGTATCGGCCTATTGGGCCCCCCATCTGTGGTGGTCTGATGTCTGTCAAACACCGAGCGGTCACCGGTGACCGCAACCTATTGTTCTGACGGTACCTACTCAACGAGTTAAGGCGCGCGCGGAAGGCGACGCGCTTCACGCTTGGGTCTGGTTCTGGTTGGGCGGCGAGCTACCCAACTCGCCGTCCGCAGGCTCGTGCTGATCATCCCGCGATCCTCGACGCCCGGAGTGTCCTTCGCGACGGCTGTGAGGAGGCAGCGCTTCGCTGCCTCATGTGCCCCGCCTCCTTCCTTAGCTAGTAGCACGACTGCTTCGCAAAAGGAGGAGACGCATCCCAGTCCCCCTCGCTCCGCATCATGCCCCGTACTAGGGCCGGACGCGAGAGATCGCTGTCACCGACCAACGTATAGTTCGAAATGATATAAATATACCTACAAATCCAAAATTCCTTGCTGAAGACCCAAACTAGAGGCAGGTAGTCGCTACTGACATCGGCTTGATTACACAAGGGTGGTACCTGCTGATGGTGTCGGTTGGGTTAAAGATTCCTCCCAGATACAAAGATCTTATTACCCAAGGTTAACGATGACGACGTGATGATTAATTAAAACTTGTAGCCCTTGTTTCCGGACCTAAACAGTCTAATCTCACGTAAATTCTTACTGTATAGCTCAAGACCTCTGAAGAGATGATTTACGTGAGAAGGCCATTTGTTAAAACTCTTTGTAAATATGCTCAGGATTAGTGCCGTCTTGGAGTACCTATATGCTTACACGAATCGCTTTTTTAATAAAAACATTGCCTCACACGGATTTTTTCCTGTGTTAAGACTCTCAAAACGCACTCTCAACTTGAGAGTTCGTTTTTATAAATATGCACATGATACCCAGACCCGAAACTATAATTTGTGGATCACACGAAGTTGCTTTGTGCGGGAAATTATCGACGTTACGGGCATCATAAGCCACCGCGCCAACCGTGCAGTCTTTGCATCAGTAAGGCTGTTCACACTCCACTCTGCAGTGCTGGCTTCACTTAAATTTGTATGTAGCTTTATCCACGACGACAAGACTTGCCGCTGCAGCAGCGTAATGTTGCTCACAAAAATTCATAAGAGTTCTGAAAGATTGGTGTAATAGAGCGGCTCGAGCTCGACTGCCGAACTAGGACTGGGGGTCCGTCAGAATGAACGATCACTATGCATATTTAAGTTCCTTGATTTGATACCATATTTTAAAGAAGTCGGTTGATAAAAGAAGAGAAAGCTAAGGTTGACAGTCATTCTGACGTGATTTTTATTTACACCTGAAGACAATAAATAAACACTATAATTGTTAAATTATCCATTTACTAAGCTTTAATGCACAAATAACATAGTAATGGTTCAACCATTTTATTTGCAAATGTACAACATAGGCCACAATAACCTATAAGTATATAGCAGATGACATGAAGTGTGACAGAAATCGATGAATTCGTTTTACACAAGCACTTTCCGAAAGTAGGGGCAGGCAATTTCTTGGTCAAGAACTATGCCCCATTAATCAAAACTAAGGGGAAATTAATTACATGAAAATGTAAATTGACTATAGAGATTTTCATGAACATTAACGCAGGAAACCAGAGGATATAGGACTTAATATAGCCTTATCTAAGTATTAATTTCGATCCTATATTATTATTGCAGTAGGTAAGTGTGGAATGATTTATTTTTGTAGAGACCAATCAAGTATAGAAACAAGGGAAAGTAACAATTCAATAAAATAATGCAGGGTTGGGTTTTTTGAAAATCGAAAAGTTTTATGGTAAAGTGTAATAGTAGTAAAGTTACAAGTACCTCAATAAGTTTAAATGAACTCATAAACTAATTTGAGACGATGGAATGGTCTTTATAAGAAGACAAGGAGGTGATGAAACAATACTTTTACAACGCAACATATTTGAAAACGTTTACCAGTGTAAAAAACGAGTTTGGATTCTTCGAGTGTTATTTTCGTTTTTCCTCAAAAGTTAATACTTTTGAGAAGAATATACAGATTTTGTTGGAAACGGGAATACAGTCTTAGCAATTTTACTACACACTTATACACGTTTTCCTAATAAAAATGCCTAAGAATGCGAGGTTTTATTTTCAAAGAAATGATGTCTGCCATGCAAAAATAAACTCTCATGATGTGATGAAAGTGTCTATTTTGACATTAAATCAAATTTTGTAATTATTTCAATATTAAAAAGCATTTTTAGATAATTCAGAGACCAGGATTTCATTGACAGGAATTATGATTATTGCTTTTTGTTAACATCAAGACATTTCCACAGCAATGTTTAAATTAGTTAAATGTTATAAGGCCAGCTTACAATTTTATTATTTCTTATACATTGTCATTCAACAACAGGATCTCCATTTTTAAAGGTATAATTTAAATGCGGAAAATCATTTCTATTCATCAAAAAGGGTAGGATCCTTCGGCAAACTGTGTTGTATTAATTAATGTAAGTATTGTTTTCTATCATTATATTATTATACCATTTAAACAAATAACACGAAAATCTTAAAATTATTCTATTGCCTAGCACATAGGTGAAATTAAAATATAGGTAATCATAAGTATTATTTTAGTGAAAATAAAAACCAGTACTATCAAGAAATTCATTTCTTGATTAGGAATATTTTAATTTCACCTTTATAATCAATGTGCTCCCTCGTATTAATTTATTGGCTATAATAATTATTAACTAAATTCAATTTTATCACATCACATGAAATAAAATTGCAGTTATCGCACAAAAATGCATTAAGTAGGTGTACAAAATGTAACCAAAATATAAATTACATTAATACTATTTATTACTCGGGTTATACGCCTAAAATTTGAAATGCGCGTATTAAAGTTATTCGATTGAACAAAACGATACGTAAAAAAATGCATTATAGTAGCATAGTAGAAAATAACTTTAAAATTGTAACCAGCCATTCCATCATTCGAATAAAAATAAATATTCACTATAATTTGTCCGTGCGTTCCTTCGTGATGGAAAACGCGGATTGTGTCATAAAACTAAACAATAACACCATATGAGAACTGTAGTTTAGAATAAAAAAAAAATACAGTTGTCCTTCATACAATATCCTTGAAAGTCTTTATGTAGGAGTGAACATTGTGAATGGAGTGTAATTATTTAGTATTATGATTCAGTATTATATGTGCATGTAGTATAAGGAGTGGTTCACATTCATTCGACGTCCATTTGTTCTTGTGTCTGCTGAGCGTCACTGGGCGCGGCAGAGTCAGGCTGTCCGTCCCCAGCTGTAGGGTTGGCGGGCGGCGGAGTCTTCTCTTTAGGTTTGGGTTTGTTTAATATTGGGTTCACAGTATTCTCAAAGGTCTGAAAAGATATATTATTCAATAATTACCAATTTGTTTCAAGTTTGATAAAAATAATACGAAAAATAAGTATGAGAACAAATCTATCGTGATTATGCTTAACCCATAAATCCCCAAGCGGTCACCGGTGACCGCTTTCCACTAATATTACATTACATTATAGACCTTATTTGTAATGTTTAGAGACTACTTTTGTATGACCAAATTGTGGGGATGGATTTCAACAGGTTAAACCATTTAATGAAGTGACTGAAAAGTAGAACGGGATCACTTTAAAAAAAAATTGTTTAAGTAATAAATATTATGTAATGGTACTAGTAATATCTGATTGTATACCTGTCGTTCCTGGCGGATCTGATGCGTGGTGTGTGGTGGCGACTGGTGGCGAGGTGTATGCGCGAGCGCCTGGCGAGCACTCTCCAACCAGTTCAGTGCGTTCTTAGCGGCTTCTGCTACTTTCTGAACGTCCACATCAGCCAAATGAGCGTACTTAATGTCGCCAGCTCTGAAACAAATAAAATGCATTTGAGAAATGTTGTACTAATTTATATAAACAAGAATGACTAAATGAGAACAAACATACTTGTACAAATCAACAGCTTTGTTGGCTAATTGGATTGCTCTTGAAAAATCATCTAATGCTCCAGGGCGGAGTTCGTACTCCAAACGTCGCTGCTTGATGGGTTCGCCTTCTGTTCTCAACTCCGCTAGTTTATCGCTATAAACCTGGAAGGAAACAAGTACTTAGATGGCACTTTATTTTGAAGGACAACATATAAACAGTTATGATAACCTCCTCCTTTTTGGGAAGTTGGTGGAAAAATATAGCACTAAGTTCTCAAACTGAGACCAGATAGAGAGATGGGAAATAGCATTGTCTAAAACTCTAAATTATTATCAATTATTTAATGCGATCCTTAAGTCGTATCACAAGTATAGGAATTTTTGGAAACGTTACCTGTCTGTGTTGGTCTTCACCTTCGTCATACAGCCATTGTTCGAGAGCATCCAACTGGTTGACAAGACGATTGCGATTATCTTCCGCGATGAAATCGTGGAGAGCTTCTCCTTCGGACAGTTTACCACGCAATTCATACACATATTCTTCCAAAGCATTGCGAGCGTCAGCACGTTCCTTTTCCTGTCGATCTTGAGCTTGCATTTTTCCCTATAAATAAGCAAATTGTTTATCAAATACATAGACACAAAAATGTTAGTAAAATTTTAATAAAAAACTTATTAGTGTATGTTTTAGTTACCTCTTGTTCAACAAAGGAGTTCAGATCATGTTTGGCAAGTCCATGTGTCTGAGCATCAATTGGTAGTTCAATGGTTTTAACAAGAACCTTCTTGGTCTTGTCCTTGGATTTATCCTTTTTATCATCAGCATTTTCCTGAAAATAAGCGCCACAGGTTCAAATCTAAAAAATTTAAAGTCACTCCCCACTACCACCACTGCTTGGCTAAAACCGACTTTATTTATAAATGTGCACTTGTTTGAGTGCCCCAAGCAGTGAGGTGACCCATTTGCATTTATTTCATAATTCATTTAAATGTTCTACATATTTACGTAATATAATAATAAAAATAACTCAAACTTCGTAAGTTCTTCATAGTCCAGGGTTTCTGCAGAACGAAAAATGGAAAAACGAAAGAAACAACTTCAAGCTTGACAAAAACATGCGTGGACACAGAGAAAAGGTTTAAAAGAATAAAAACAAGAAGAAACTGCAGAGGCTACATTCAGCCTCATAAAACAAGAAATTTGTGCAAATGGACCTCACAATGAGGGTGGGGACGAAACAATACTTTGTGATGTCTGCTGCCAAAAGGTTGCAAAATGGAGGACTTAGATGATTAAAATATACGTTAGAATACTTAGAATACATAAAACAAGCGTTACGAAGAGACGGCGGGCAACAAACAACACGGGACTGGCCACACGCGCTACCGACACGTACCCCGCTGAACCACTGTCCTACTTTCTGTGTCCACGACTGTTTTTGTTGAGGCTCCCCCTTCATTTCGTCGTCTCTCACCTCTTGGTTATCGGGGCCATTTTGTTGCTGATCTTGGCTGGCACCATTAGTATCCATAGCAGCATCTTGTCCCTGAGAATTTTCATTTGAATTCTCCATTTCTATATTATCATTTTGAGCAGCATCTTGTTTCTTTTCCACGAGGGATGCGGAGGCGACTGTTATGATGCCATGAATGTTCACTCTCACTTTGAGTTTTACTTTCTGAGACTCTCCTTCAGCTGTTGGCTGGACATCTCTGATGTGCCATTGGCCTGTAATAGTTTAAAAACAAGATTCTAATCTATCTAAGAGCTTGGTGCACAAAAGGTGCTACTCCAACATACAGTCGACTTTTACTATTTGAAACATGTAACTGGTACTACCGGCAATAAAGTCAAAAAAAGGATAAGAAACTTACCAATAAAAGTGTCTGGATAAGGCACCTGGTCCGAATAATAAGCACTCACAGAGAATGGTTCTTTTCTGTAGAAAGTCAGCATCTTTGAGAATGGCGCAGCATGGAAAGCGGAGAATACCTGAAATTACGTAAAGAATTTGTTAGTAATAAATATCAAACAAAACTAAGAGTAATTGATTTCTGACTCAGTAACCAACACTTTCACTTGAACAAAGTTAGAGCTAAATGTGTCCGAATAGTTATCATATTTTATATTACAATACTATTTATTACAAGTAAATATTGATAGAAATAACAGTAATTTTCAGTGTACAAACACAAGTTGTCATAGTAACAATAACCATTAACTCGTCGAGTACCGGTTGTGCAGACACAATTATAGAACAATAGGTTGCGGTCACCGGTGACCGCTTGGTGTTTGACAGTTTAAACCAAATTAATATGACATTGAAATAACATACCAATGTCGACATGTTGATTATTTTGTATGACTGTACTACTTGATTCACAATAAAGTAGACAGGTTAATATATGACTAGGAACTTTTCAATGCAAGCATGCCTAATGCAAGATTAACAAACTCAGTTTGATATTTTTTACGATATAAAAACTCTCTCAATTTTATCTCAAGTACCTTGTTTCAAGGTCTCTTTGATGACATTAAAGTATATTTAGATGACTGACCTCCATGTCTCCATCCTCTCCCTTGGTGGCATCCCAGGCAAGGCGCACGGCGTAAGGTTGGACGTCTGTGACGCTGAACTCACGCACGCGCACTGCCGGGCTTAGCATAGCACACTGCAACGCACAGCCACGAGACACTGCTTCATCCTGAAATTTATCATAAACATTTTTACAAATTGCACAATGAAAATGTTGAGTATGTTTTGTGCATACAGGTTGTTAAAAAATGTTGGCTGCAAAAATAGTACATGTGTTACCTGGTTCAGTGTGGTTGAGGCATGCTTGTTAAACACTTGTTCAATCAAGTTCTTGACAGCTGGGATTCTGGTAGATCCTCCGACGATCTCTACAGAATGAATGTCTTCAGGTCTCAACTCTGAAAACATTGTTCATAAACATTTAGTTCCCATGTAGATTGAAGAATATGATCGGAAGTATTCATTAATGATATTGTACGGCAATGAAATAGTAATTCAATGATTACTTACTAGAATTGTGTAGTACAGCCCTCATAGTTCTTTCAATGCGTGTGAAGGTCTCAGCACAAATTTGTTCCATCTGTGAGCGCTGCATTTCGCTGGAAACGTCGCGCTCTTCCATGAAGCACTCAATATTGATAGGAAGGCGAGTGCTGTTAGCAGACATCTGCTTCTTCAGTTTCTCAACTTCTTGCAGCAGCCGAAGGAAAGCCCTGTTCATTAAAAAAATTATGAATTATCAAACAGTTCTATAAAATGTTCTAAATATTTTTTTTTACCCATAAATCCCCAAGCGGTCACCGGTGACCGCTTTCCACTAATATTACATTACATTATAGACCTTATTTTTAATGTTTAGAGACTACTTTTGTATGACCAAATTTAGGGGATGGATTTCAACGGGTTAATATTTTGTAAACAGTACCTTTGGTTTTTCCTAGCATCTAGCTTTAATCGACTAATGAAGTCTTGACAGAAATAATCAGCCAATGCCATGTCAATGTCCCTTCCACCACATTGAGCATCAGTTGACGTAGCCAGAACACGCAGCTTACCCTTGTTGAAAGCACATGCAGACACCTAACAACAAGATATCAGAGTTACTAGTGTTCAGTTCATACTCCGTGTTACTGTAAATATAAAGTTAGTCACTTTCTAATAACTTACCTGAAGTGAACTGTGACCAAAGTCAACAAATACTACATTCTTGGGCTTTTCCTCTGGAGCAGGTAAATCTTGTTTATAAATACCATAAGCCAAAGCAGTGGCAGTGGTCTCGTTCATAAGGCGTAATACATTCAATCCTGAAAAATACATATTTCAATTAGTTATTATCTGTGAGACCACAGAAACTATGTGGTTTGTAGTTTGCTGATAAGAATAAGTTTAAATTAAATTAATATTGTATTATAGTATGTAGTTATTTAGTACCTGCAATATTGGCAGCATCCAACAAAGCATTTCTTTCAGAGTTTGTGAAGTAGCTGGGTACAGATATGACACAATCATTAATGGGTGTCTGTAACGCTATGGTTGCGCTTTCTTTCAGTTTTGTGAGAAGCATAGCTGTTATCTGCAAAGACAAAGAAACATAAAATTACAGTCATTATAACATGTGACTAAATTAATGCAATAATAGCTCAGTGAAGCAAAGTAGTAGTAACTTGATAACAATTTGATAAGGAACAAACACATTGCCCTATGTCAAGGATGGTCAACTTGAACATATTTATGATTAGTACTAGGGAGTACAAACTATTTACCTGTTCAGGAGTAAAGACATTGTCTTCACCCAGATAGTTGACTCTAATGCCGATTCCATCATCCTGTCTTTGTTCAACCTTGAAGGGGAAATGTTTCAGCTCTTTCTGAACATATGGATCAGAAAATTTTCTACCTAACAGCCTCTTGAAGCCAAAAACAGTGTTTTTCATATTTGTGACCATTTGGTTCTTTGCAGCCACTCCCAATATTCGATTTTTCGGTGAAAATGCGACACATGATCTGAAAATATAACATACACAATTGAACATAACATTCCAAAATAAGTCTACTTAAATAATAATGCTGTTCTATCATTATTTATTTGAAAACAAAAATTGTATGTATTGATACAAATAATAGTAACTTTATAATAAACAAACTAATGTAAATCAAATGCTTTATTCCCCGTTTCAGTTACATAATTTAAGTTAACATTAATGCTATTAAACTAAACAATTTATTGCTTAGTAAGTACCATGAATAAACCTATCATGGATGATATTATAACATTTTAAAAACAATAGCTATAGTTTATTGAATCTAGACATATAACCTAATTGAATATTTATGAATTGTGAAAAAGGAGGAAAAGGTATGCTCTATATTTCCCATAGTTTAGGAGCTTTCTAGAAATAACTGTACATAACATGTTAGAATAATGTTGTTGGGTTTTGTAATTCATTAATATTTAATAAGTAGTACCTTTGGCAACTTGTGATGTTTTTTTTTTCAACTTAATTCATAAGTTATTTTATGTGACATATTTTTGCTATTTCTACAGGTTTGTAATTACAAAAAGAATAGAGTACATTAAATGATTATTCTAATTAAATTCTCATTTGAATAGTACTAATTTGAAATAGGAAATAACGTCAAATTTTAAATGAGGTCAATACAGCAATGTGTTTGAATTTGTAGCCAACCTTTTGAGTAATGTATTATGATATTACTGATGTATTGAACAATGCCTCAAGGATAGGTATTAACTTAATCAATACTTTCTTGTCACTCATTATTGTCATAAATTATTAATATCATAAAATATCCATCCTATCCAAATTATGCGACAAATTCTATAAGTTACCAACAAATTTCCAACAATTCGAGTCAAATTATAGAAAAAGTATGACTAACCTACAATGAAACATCAAGATTTAGCAAGGACATTGAAAATATGAATAATGCTCTATAAAATTCATGAACTACGTAAATAATTAGATTTAGGTAATATTCTGCTTGCTAGTTGTTATTTATTGTTTCATAATCTTTTAAGATCAAAGAATTATGCATTTCTTATAAGGTTTGAACATGACAAGCAGATAATTAAATCAGATGTTGGCGAGGTTCTAATAATTTGTCAATGGGCGAACCATGATGACAGAAAGAACCATCACACATTTTTAATACTTAAAAAGCAACAAGAATAACAATGTTTTGTACTTACGGAGTACCGCGGAGACTGTAATCGTTGGCTATTGTCTCAATACCACCTGCTTTAGCCACAGCGATATAACATGATTCGTTACCGAAATCAATACCAATGACGGACATAGCAGCCATCGTAAACTAAAATTTGTCTCAATTTATTACAAGAACAATTAAATCTTGCTTATCTTCCGAATAACACGAAGAGAGAAACACGTTGCTGAATTCTACAATCGATCAATCTAACGTATAAACGCCGGTTTATTGCCGCATTAGTTCCTTCATTCGTGCTCGTACCCGAATTTTCTAGAAGTGTGTCCAATAGTGTTGCGACTTTCAGAAAAAAGATGCTAGTCGATTACCACTTCCAATTTTTTATAAAATCGACTCCATTTTATCTCGGAGTAACATTATGCCATTTATATCGCGAAATTAGCTTTATTCACCTATATTTTTTTATTAAAGTGATATAATCGGAAATTCTCATATTATTGTATGAAAACAACGAAGGAATCCCCGGAAAATCAAGATTATTCGAAATCTAAGGATTTTTTGTAGTTAATCAGGATGTGGCTAAATAGATTTTGGGAGTTGGTTTGTTTGTGACCATGCATGGGACGCTTTATTTTTGACGTTGGTTTGACATTGACAAAAGCTGTCACTGTGTGACATTTGACATCGAGGCCAGATGGGGGCAAAGATTTAAAAGTCTATAGAAGTGTTCAATGTGAATGTGTTTGATTTGTAATTTGCATTCCTTTTGAACGAAACAGCAGTCTTATCTACTACAGTAGCTAAAAATTTGATTAATAGTTTGTTTCTTCTAAAGGTACATTTATTGCGCTGATTGTGAACAAACATAGAATTGATTTTTTATTACAAAAGTAATAAGTCATAGGTTATCATTCGTAAAGCGTGACTTGACTACTCGACTCAAAGCAAGTAACTTTTTATAACTTGACGCCGAGGAGGTCACCTTCAGCCGTTCGCACTTAGCTATTGCATGACGTTTTCATTCGTATTGAGCGAATTGTATTCACGCTCTAAATAATTATCACTAAGTGATTGTAACAATACTTTCAGGTTTAACCGAAGTCGAGTAACCAGTATGAGCGGTGAACCCCAAGCGAAACGTACGAAAATGAGTGTCCTGGAACAATTAAAACAATACTGCACGGTGGTGGCCGATACCGGCGATTTTGAAGGTTAGAAATAATATTAAAAAAGTAAATATGATATGTAAACTCCTTAATATTTCTTGTGTTTTAATTATTAGTTAAAAAGGAGATATGGTTGATGAAAGTCATTGAACTTGAACTTATATTCTGAAATTTATAGAGTCTTAAAAACTGGTATAACCAGACCTTGTTATTTAATTTTGAAACTATATAGATTAATCCTTCAATGAATGATGTAATTAAATATATAAAGTATTTAAAGCACTTTACAGTAAGAGAATTTAATATTGGTTAAGTTAGAAACATTTGAAGGTCATGCTAATTACAGTTAACATTAGCAAATATTTTTTAATGTAATTATTTAACTAGCTTGAGTGCAAGCTAGTTAAATAATTTGAAGTATCTAGAAAATTAATTATTTTGTTATTGGAAATAATTATTAATAAAAAAATTAATCCTCACAGTCCTGAGTAAGCTATTAAATGTAGTTAATTATTTTTTTCATATAAACAGCTATGAAAGAATACAAGCCAACAGATGCTACCACCAACCCAAGCTTGATTCTGTCTGCGGCTGCCATGGAGCAGTACCAGCACATACTTGACAAAGCTATCAAATATGCCAAGGAGGTTGGCAGGTAAGTTTCTATCACTACAACATTTTGCATTTTAATTCAAGGTCTTGCTGTATAAAATAAATTATTGTCTTTCACACTGCAGTAATAAGTATTTTTTTTAAATTGTATGTGTATTGTCTATTTCATTGTAATATTGATTGCTCTTTGTTTGTATTCAGTACTGTGGAGGAACAAGTTGCCGAAACCTTGGACATGCTGAGTGTGTTGTTTGGTTGTGAAATTCTCAAAATCATTCCTGGCAGAGTGTCCGTAGAAGTTGATGCAAGGTGAATATAGCACTTATTGACTAGAAAACTACAGAACTACTACGATAACCATCAAAGTTTTGTACCGTCCCAAACTGTGAAAATTACTCTATTACAATTACATGTTTTGATATCTAATCTTGATAGGCTTGTTAGTAAAATAACATTGAAACCAACAGTATAGTGTAAACCAGACATAAATAACTGTATTATATAAATATCTACTCGAAACATTAGCATAGTAACTATCTTATTTACATACTGATGCCTTGAATTTCAGATTGTCATTTGATAAGGATGCAAGCATTGCAAAGGCTATCAAACTGATCAACATGTTTGCTGAGTATGGCATCAAGAAGGAGAGGATTCTCATCAAGTTGGCTTCTACTTGGGAAGGTATTCAGGCAGCAAGGTGATTAGTTATGATAATTTGAATCTAATCTCTATCTATCTATCTGATCTGTTATCTATGCCAGGTAGTGACAACAGATTGTAATACATTTTTACCAACACTACTCTTGTTGCGGGTGTTGTAGCGACTGATTATAAGCCTAATGGACTACTTCTTTGAAAGAGATCAAGCAGCATACATACATACATATATGTATAACTTGACATCTGTGTCCCTTGGAGGTAGACAGAGACTATGGAACGCCAATTGCTAGGATTCCTACGTATCTCTATTGCTTCATCATCAGTCATCAATCATTTCATGCATGCTTATTGGTTAAGGGTACTTTATCAAGCAGCACTCTCTGATAGACCTAAATTTTTTAAATTGCGATCATCAACCCACCTGTTTGGCAAACTGCAAACACCCCTCTCTTGTGTAGAGAAGTTGCATAGTCCAGCAGCAGGCTGGTCATGGGCTATTGACAAATCAAAATCTTGTGACATGGTTATAAGGACTAATTTTGAATGTTGTAATGTTTGAATAAGTTCTTGATGAAGGTTGTAATAATTACAACTTTCTACCTTAATAAATATTGTTGACCTCAAGCAGTCCCCATGACATACATTGTAAGTTGCACTTGCAGTGCATAACATTACATTGAAACTATACATGCTTAGACTTATATAATATTTATTGACACAGGTTATGTATTGAAATAATATCTATTTGTGTAAATTGGCTTCTAAATTAAGTTCCTCTTACAAGCACGGCTCCGGCATGGCTCCAACCCTTTAAATATGAATTTGGAATCGTAAGTCGTATGACATATTTCATTACGTCAATATAAAACTAACAAAACAAAAGGTTGTAAGCGCGCTGCCATTTGTTTGTTTCCAAAGCAAAAACGCTGGTCCACCGCCGTGCTGGAGCAGCGACGAACCCGTGCTTGTTACATGTGCGATGACTCTTACACATCAATATTTTAATATAAATCTCGATGAGTTGACTACTCTGAGAAGAAACACAGAAACAAATTCAGAGCACTCACTATATTTTTTTAATGTACCATGTAATTAAATATTATATTTTGTTATTTTACAGGGAATTGGAGAAGAAACATGGAATTCACTGTAACCTGACATTGTTGTTCTCATTGTACCAAGCTATTGCTTGTGCTGAGGCCAATGTAACACTCATCTCACCATTTGTTGGACGTATCTTGGACTGGTAAGTAAATTATATGTTATAACTGAACCTTAGCTCAGAACACTTATATAAAATAAAAATAAACTTCTATAGTACTTATACTTTTTTTACTTTGTCAAACAATAACAAAGTCAGCAGTCACATCTGTTAGTGATTAATTTAATCTAATTAACTTAATTTCTTGTAATTTCCAGGTATGTCGAGCATACAAAGAAGACATATGAAGGCAAGGACGACCCAGGCGTGCTATCGGTCACTCGCGTGTACAACTACTACAAAAAGTTCGGCTACAAGACCCAAGTGATGGGCGCCTCTTTCCGTAACACTGGCGAGATTCGTGAGCTGGCTGGTTGCGACCTCCTTACTATAAGTCCGAAGCTCCTGCAAGAGTTGGCTGCCAGTGAACAACCATTGAAGAGAGTGAGTTTTTGCAATTTTTTATTTTATTGAGAACATAGTTTTTTTATGGAATAGGACGCGAACCAGCAGACCTGATCATCAGAGGATCACCTGATGGTAAGCGATCAACGTCGCCCATTGACACTCGCACCACCAGACCTAGCCCAGTCCCCATGCGGCGACCGGTGACCACTCTCCCCACTCTCCACTTTCTCCACTATAGACTACATTTCCGATGTTTAGAGACCACTTTTGTATGAACAAATGTTGTGAATTTTTCATTATTGAGGTTAAGAAGCTTGATTCCAAGTGAGGTTTCCAGTTTATTTTGTTGTTTTTAGATGAAAAATGCATGTAGAGTTTGGTCAAGGTATAGGTATAGGTATAGGTATTTGATATAGGTTTTACCCCCATGTAAAAGGAGACTAATATCGTACCTGGCCAAAAGTAGATAGTGGTTCGCTACCTTCCCTTTTAGGCGAAAACTTGCGTGATATGATAATCAATATTTTTGTCTCATACTTATAGCAATAAGTACCAATATTAAAATAAGTCATAGTAATATTAAAAGTACTCAAGATAATTTATATTGCTGATAAAACAGTTATCTGTGATCAATCACAGTAATTAGTTTTATACAGTTCACGCCATATTGCAATTTGTAATCTATCCAAGGTTATGTATTTTATGATGTTAGGTTACGTTACTTCTATGATTATTATGGTTATTTTCATTTTACGGGATGTGGCAATTTTAATTTCTTGTTTATGGATTACTAGCTACTTCCACGCGTCTTCCTTCGACGCCTATTGACCATAGCGTGATGATATAGTCCATATAGTCTATCCTTGATAAATTAACTATCCAACACAGAAATATTTTTTTTTATTTCGGACCAGTAGTTCCTGATATTAGCGCATTCAAACAAACAAACAACCAAATTCTTCAGATTTGTACATATAAAAGTTGTGTATCATCACGCAAAAATTCTCAGTAGTAGCACGGAGTATAGAATTGTGCCTGGTATATGGCAATAGGCCCCTATTACATGGGACTCATAACATAAATAGTGAAAAGTGGGTGTTACATTGTACAGTGGCATTAAATGCCGTAATGTGCACTGTACAATGTGCTAATGTGCACAATGTGTGTGTTATGTTATCATTATTACGCCTTGTTTCCTGAAAGTGTGTACAATAATTTTTTACATACTCTTTTCGCCAATTATGAGTTCCATGTGTTACGGGCTGAAACTATTGCTGTACATTGGCTACGAGTGTAGAGTCCGTGTAGTAACTGAAAATGTTAAATAACTCAGTTCCTAACCTGCAGTTCGTGGCCTTAACAAGAATAGTTGCCTGATTTGGGAATCCCGAGACACCTTACTTATGATCAATGTGATCACTTGATGTATGATGTATTAACCTGAGATATTTAGATGAATTAGCAAGTTTTTATTCATACAAAATGTATCCCAACAGTGATAAACATGACAAGATGATTATCCAATATCTGCAGCTCTTAGGAATTTGGTTTTATGTAAATAGTTGACAAATATCAATATTTTTTTAATTTCAGGTGCTGGATCCTAAATTTGCTGCCCAATGTGACATGGAAAAGATTTCTCTAAATGAGGCGCAGTTCCGTTGGCATCTGAACGAAGACCAGATGGCGACTGACAAGTTATCAGACGGCATCAGGAAGTTCGCTGCCGACACGAGAAAACTGGAATCCCTCATCAAAGCCCTCCTCGCTAAGAAGTAGATGACGTCATCATTTACAAATAGCTCTTGGGGTGTAGAGGCACAATAGGGATGTTTCCAGCCAGTCAAATCAAATATTTCTTCCAAATGTCAAAATGTTATATTCTATTTTTGAATGCGATTGTAAATTGTGACGTCCTAATTTTGAAGCGTCAACTAACTTATTTTACAACGAAATATGAAATCAAATCAACCAATGATACATCGAATCGTGTCATCGTGTGAGTACTGATAAATCGAATTTGTTTTTGGCTTAGGAAACACCCCAATTATTAGGCTAAGCTAAAAATAATGTTAAGGAAAGATCTACTTAAACTGTTTTTGATATATTTTTACGTTTTTCTTTGATCATGTTTGATAAACCTATGTGTTGTTTTTTTTTACAAAGGTATTAGATTTTTATATTCTGAAATGGGGACCACAAATTGTTGATACATTCCTGTACATATTGTTTGTTGCATATTGGAGGGTTACATATTTTAAATCATTAAATGAATTACCTACCTATTCATTTTGTGTATTATTTGTTTGTACCATAAAAATAGATTTTTTTTGGGTATTTTTTAATTTTTCTAATATTTAACTGAAAAAGTCGTTCTATTTACCTATCCTATTCAAGAATTTAACTCCTGAAGCATATGCGTCTATGTACTTGTAAAAATGCGGCAAGTCGACTATTACAAGCATTTTCTTCTTAATGTGTTGTCTTGCGACTGAAAAGAAGAAAGTAAGTGTTGGGTTGTATTTTTACCATTACAAAGAAGTCCGTACATTACCTACATTTCAAGAGTTATCAGTACCAAGCGCGTAAGCAGTAACTTACCTACCTACATAATTATCCCACCATTTCGGAAATTGTTTATTTCAAAGGGCTCTTCAACTCCCCTTCCCGAAAATGATGCAATCAAATGAATTAGGTATTGCGAATACCTCCTTCCCTTCCTTACATACCTACCTACCTTCACTTAGGTCAGAAGAAACAGCAGATTTGAGATGAGAGGGTAGTTTTACCGACCAATATATTCAAATCGCGTATAGCGCCCTGCTGTATTAGAAATAAAAATCGGTTCACATGGTACCTACTATCTACGCCCACCAATATAGATGTAGGTAGGTATGTGTGTGTATCCTAACTATCGTCTATCTATCTATTATCTAGGGTCGTGTTTACAGCTGATTGAGCAGAGGAAATTGATGGTTTGCGGATATTACCTTTACTTTGTGCACATGGTTGTTGTTTTGCATCCGTTTGTAGACCAGATAGAATATTGTACAGATGCGCCTTGCAAAAAGTAATCAGATTTCGTGTTGAGCCAAGTTTGTAACCCTACATACTAAAAACGAGTAATAGGAAAACGGTGCTACGCGTTACGAACTACGCGGCAAAATACAACTACAGCCGTAGCTCGTAGCGCGTAGATCATAGTTCGTACGGCGTAAATCACAGTTCGTAGCGCGTGGCAGCGTTTCTCCGATATTAATCTCGTAGTCAAGCATATCGTCATGGTGGCTCTGAGGTTAAGACGCCTGCTTCTCATGCATGAGAGAGCGGGTTCGAAACCTACCAAGTAGGTTGTACGCTTGCTACGCAAATATCAATGTGACTTTTTCCGAGTTATATGTACTTTCTAAGATTATTTGAACACCACTGACAGATAGATGGTGATGAAAAAAAAACATCGTGAGGAAACCTGGAGTTATAAGTTTAATTATAATGTTTGAAATCGTAAACCCGCATTGAGTAAGCGTGTTGGTTAATAATCAAATTTCCGTGGGAGAAGAGGCCTTTGATCAGCAGTGGCCACTTATAGGGTGTTGATGATATAAATCGTGGCCTTAACAAGAATAGAGTTTAGAAACTATACATTTAAATGCATAGCATGGAGATGAATAACGGGAAATGGCTAATACGCGCTAACTGACTAACTACGAACTTTGCGCTACTAGGCACGACCGTAGCTAGTAACGCGTAGCAGCGTTATTAATCTCAATCTCCTTACATTTTGATGAAAGGTTAGTAAACTCTTTTCGTGCGTCCAGCGCCCAGTTGAGTCTACGGTTCGCACGCGTACGAGATTTATATCGGAGAAGCGCTGCTACGCGCTATGGGCTACGAGCTACGATCTACGAACTACGATCCACGAACTACCATCTACGAACTATGATCTACGCGCTACGTGCTACGTATGTAGTATTTCACCGGGTAGTTTGTAACGCGTAGCAGCATTTTCCTATTATTAACCTGTGAACTGTCTGAACGCAGATCTACGTGAGACACTATGTGTTTTCTATTGCCTCATGTATCGACAAAACAGAGGTTAATCTCAATGTCATGAATTTTGGTATAGAGTTTGTAATCTCTTTCCATGTCTCGGACTTGTCAGTTTGAATCCATGGTTTGCATACAGTGCTACGCGCTGCGAACTATGTGCTACGAGCTATGGTTTTAGTACTTCGCCGTTTGACATCGCGTTCTAAGTGCTTTTATCTTTAAAAAAAATTACATTGTTTTTTTTGTGGGTTAATTAAATAACGTATTACTAAGGTATCTGTTTTTTTATGGCATAAGCCGGTAAACTAGCAGACGGATCACCTGATGGTAAGCAATCGGCGTCGCCCATGGACACCTGGAACACCAGAGGCGTTACAAGTGCGTTACCGGACCGTTGGGGATTAGGAGTTTGAGGATCGTTGGGGATTCAGGAATTGGGGAGATTGGGGAAGAGGAGGGTAATTGGGCCTCCGGTAACCTCACTCACATGATGAAAACACAACGTAAACGTTGCTTCACGTCGGTTTTCTGTGAGGCCGTGGTACACTCCGGTCGAGCCGGCCCATTCGTGCCGAAGCACGGCTCTCCCACACTTAAGTTCTGTTATCTGTTATCTGTATTCTATTTTTTTGTTTTTTTTTTTCGTATCATAGAGTAGAATTTATAAATGTTTTATTAGATTATGGCGGCAAACCAGCAGATACAGCTCTAATGGTAAGCAATCTGCATTAATGGATGGATATCCATATAATAGAGGTATAACACTAGAAAAATAGGGAGAGGTAGGAGATAGGTACCTGTTAAAGTCAGCATCTAATTGTGAAAATCCAGTTGTCGGCAGTCAGATTTATGGTATGTATAATTTTTGTATCTGGATTGATATATGTAGTTAGGGAGGTTAGAAAGTGATAATGGCTTTGACCCCACGATCGAAGTCGCGGGTAACAATAAGTACTTGAGTACAACACATAGATATCAATGTACCTATTTATTCTTATATGTTAATATTAGTGTCATAAAAAGTCACATTTTAAATTTCGTAAGTACTTAGATAATAGAAACAAAAACCAATATTCCACACATACAAAGCATAAATACTCGTATAAATCTATCCACCTTTGTAATCCTCGTTACAACTTTCCTTATAACGATCAAGCGAAAAGGTATGTCAGCACCCGTTGATATACAAACTGAAACTATAATATCTATGTATGTATATCGGCAGTCTGAATTCGTTTCGGTTGTTACCCGCCTGTAATACTGAAGGGTGCTAGGCGCAGGTGTACTTACTGCCTTAACAACCTTTTAGGTTCCGTTAAGCAGAGGGAAAAGCTTTTAGCGGGTTATTTAGGCACAAACTTTTTTAATACTATGTAGTTCAATGTTTTTTGGCTTAATATCTTTGAATTTTTATTTAGTATGTAGGGTCTTTCCAATGATCCATATCTACTTAATAGTGATTGTGGTGGATATGAAGGAATACGTTTACTGAACACATTATTATAGAAAGAGTTTTCAATAACCAATAAAATTAATCATCACAAATATTTACGAGAAATAATAATACTTACTTTTTCCTGCGTATTTAAGGAACGGCTACGCCGTGCTACGAAGTATGCTACGAATGCTACGAAAATCAATTACTTTACATTTCCTCTGATTTAAGGGAATTCTATTGTTTCGATGTTCAATTAGGTGGTATTCAGAGATTTTTTATTTAATTACCTATATTTTTAGCTATTATTTTTATGTTTTTTTAAACCACATACTTGTATTCACGATAGTATCGATTTTGTACACAATTTAACAATATAACCGATATTATTTTCCATAAAATAATGTCTCAATAAAGGTTAAGTAATGTTCAATATTCGTAAAAGGGTAGGAAATATGATCTTGATCTGAACATGATGAGATAGTAAACAGCGTCTGTTGTTGTTTCTCGTGGTCTTGTTAATGTCATAACGAATAAGTGTTAACTGTGTTCCTTAGCGATAATCAAGAAAATTTTCCATATTATGATGTAGTAGTAAAGAAAATTTTCACAACGGGGTAAAGAAGGGTGCGGGGGCGGCGGAGGCGGAGGCTTGATATTGACCTAGATGTTCATTCAGAGTTCGGTCGATGCGAAACTTGACATCTGCGCGTTCCTGCGTTTTGTATTTTTCGATTTAATGTACACTTAACTCGCTCGCTTTTTGATTAATTTCTTCTAAATCATCCCGTTTTAGTGTGCTTTCTGTTTGTAAAGTGATTCAGTGGTCTTCGTAGTTTAGTTGTGGCGAGTGTGATGTTCAGTGCGATACTCGGTATTCCTTGTGTCATTGACGCGGTGGTGACTACCGATATAATGCCTGAGCACCAATTTCTGTTCAAATAGTTTCCGCTGTGCTTTAATTTAAAATGTCGAAATCATCTAAAACGTCACAGACCCAGATACCTGCAGTGACAAAGGATATTTCAGCCATGGACACGAAAATCGCTGATGTGAGTATCGACTACCGCTTAGCTAGATTTTCCTTAAAAGTTCTCCATTAAAACGCAAGGGAAAGTGTATAATATTCCTTTTTATTTTTGATAATTTTTAATTTAAAGAGGTTTATAGGTCTGTTCGATATGTAGGTCACATGGTATATGAGATGGGTGCCTACTTATATGACTCATGTACTTATGTCGCGTAACAATGACGATGTTGAGGCGAGTCGACAAATTGTGCTTAGCACCAGCTGATTCGTGTGTGACTCAAAGGTTTTATTTTCATGAATACTTTGTTTCATGTTGCCATCTAACGGACGATGTACCTATCAAGCTTTTACATCTATGCACTGAAATGTCCAGTGCGTTGATCTTAATGCATCTATACATTATAGATACTTTTACTTCACATCATATTAGTAATGGTGTACTTATTTCTAAAAAATCTAAATTCTGTGTAGGATTCACAAATGTAGAGTAGGGGGAGCTAGAGTAGTAAAGTATTGACGCAGGTAGCTTCTGCCTACATGAGAATAAACGGACGTATAAGTTAGATGACTAAACTAGGGCATGTGGTGACCGGCGAAGAATGAACCACTCCATTTCTTAACATTTGTGTCAGCACCTACTCGTATAAGCTTATTGTATTAGGGACAACTAATTGCTTCCATCAGCATTCACTTAGTACGTAACTAGTGCTATGAAGTTACCGATGAACAATTATAATGGTGTCAAAATACAATTTGATAATTTAATTTGTATTA